GATTCTGGAACTACACCCGTTATTAATGACATGTGTAACAAATTTGCTAAGGACATACTAAGCTCTTCCTTACATTCCTTTAATACTTTGGCAAATATCTCATCGGGACAGATGCAAAGTCAAGATGGAGTGAGTCGTTTAACAAAAACTTTCATTACAAAAAAGAAGAAGAACATGAAATGAAAATATAAATTATAGTTTATAGTTGATGGCCTGGGGTGGTCTCTTGCCTTACTGTGTGAGGTCACGTAGGGTAAGTGGTGCTGTAATGCGTCATAGGTGTTGACATGAGGAACCTCACTTGGAGACACCGGGTAATAAGGTGTCACAGTGCTACTCTATGCTAAGTGGTGTTGTAATATCTCATGGTGGTCGGTTCCCAGAGGTGTTTACTTATGGGTGTTAGGACCTCACTCTATCTATCTATCTATCTATCTATCTATCTATCTGTCTGTCTCTCTAAACCTGGCTGTCTGTCTGTCTAAATCTGTCCGTCCGTCCGTCCGTCTATCTATCTATCTATCTATCTATCTGTCTGTTTCTGTCTGTCTGTCCATCCGCCCGTCCGTCCGTCTATCTATCTATCTATCTATCTATCTATCTATATAACAAAGGTACTCAAACTATCCAACCAGGAGCAAACTCGTAACAATGGTTTTAAATTAGACAAATTAGAGTAGTGGATGAGTGGAACAAGTTATCATTAACTCGAATACGTTAGATAGCTTCAAACATATAGGTTAGATGGATATATGAGCGATAGGGGTTGGGTGTAAACGGGACTTGCCAGTATGGGTCAATAGGCCTGCTGCAGCTTTTCCATTCGTATGTGCTTATGTTCTTATGCTTACCATCCTCTCTCACTCTCTCTCTCTCTCTCTCTCTCTTCACTAAGACCCAGATTCCTACAGCTCGTTATCTTGACCTGCCCAGGTCGGGTTGGGTCAGTGAGAAACTCTTAACTCCTTTGACCTGACAGCTCCATGACAAACTTTGCTTGACCTCATGACACCCTTGACCTGACCTCTTCATGACACCCTTGACCTGACCTTTTCATGACACCCTTGACCTAACAGCGTAACACCCTTGATTTGACCTCGTGACTCCCTTGACCTTACCCCATAATACCCCTAACATGACCTCGTAACACCCTTGACCTGACATCATCATGCCACCCTTGACCTGACCTCGTTTACAATTGACCTGACCTCGTAATACAATTGACCTGACCCCGAGATTGCCCTTGACCTGACAGCTTCATGACACTATTTACCTGATAACATAACATCCTTGACTTGACCTCATAACACTCTCGACCTGACCTCATGACACTCTTGACCTGACCTCGTAATACCCTTGGTCTAACCTCATAACACCCTTGACTTGACCTCATAACACCCTTGACCTGACCTCTTTATGATACCCTTGACTTGACCTCATGACACCCTTGACCTGACCTCTTAACTCTCTTTACCTGACCTTTTCATGACACCTTTGACCTGACCAAGTACCAACCTTGACCTGACCCCGTAACACCCTTGACCTGACCTCGTAACACCCTTGACCTGACCTCGTAACACCCTTGACTTGACCTCGTGACACCCTTAACATGACCTCATAACATTCTTAACTCGAATCTTATGACACCCTCTACCTGACCCCACGACACCTTATTACCTGACCTAATATCATTATTGACCTGATCTCATGATACCCTTGACCTGACAGACGTGTGACAGCGTTGTTTAGAGAGTTTCTTGAGCGACACACGTGATAATAAGAGAGAGAGAGAGAGAGAGAGAGAGAGAGAGAGAGAGCGGTTCACTAAACTTGGTCAATCTTGTCACGTACTTGACTGGTTGACACGTTTGCAACATGTTCGGTGAGACACGAAGTTTCCATAATCCATTTTATTTCTTTATTTCTCTATTTCTCTTCCAATCCCGCCTTCTTTATTTTCTTCTCTTTATTTCTATTTTAGTCAATCATCATATATATCTATTGTTCTTATTTTATCACCATCTTAATCATCATCATCATCATCATCATCATCATCATACTCGGATACATTTCATCATCATCTGTTGTGTGAAGAATATTACTTGGTGGTGTAACAACAAGAAAGGTTTAATGATTCCTAATTGTAATGATCGGTAATCTATCTTACTCGTAATTAGCCGGGGAAGGGGATAGAGAGAGAGAGAGAGAGAGAGAGAGAGAGAGAGAGAGAGAGAGAGAGAGAGAGAGAGAGAGAGAGAGAGAGAGAGTAACGGGATAAGTTTAAAGTAAGATTATATAAAAGTAAATTAAACTTGGACTGAACGTAAGAGAACGCGAGCTGGAAATAATAGGAAAGTTTTTGTTTATTTGTTAATTATTATTTGCTGAATATCAAAATCCGAAAATTCCAGCAAGGTAGAATTTGTCATCGTTCAGATATAAATATGTGATGAACGGAGGTGAATGACTTGGGCAATGTAGGAGGGGATAGAGGGAGGGAGGTGAAGGTGTAGGAGAGAGGGAAAAGTGAGGGAGAGGGCGAAAGGTGGTAGAGAGGAGGGGAGGGTGAAAGTGGAGAAAAGGAGAGGAAGGAAGAGGTGGAGGTTGAGGAGAAGGGAAAGGGAGGTGGAGGAGAGGGAGAAGAGGTGGAAAGCAGGGCGAGGGGGGGTGGGGTAGAGTAAAGGGAAGGGGTGGTGGTGGCGGTCATGAGTGAATACAAGTCTGTATATGAAATAAAATGACCAAACAAGTTCCCCCTCTCCCCGCCCTCTCGTAAAATAAATTACCCGGCTAGTCCAACATAGTAAGTCCTGTTTACATGTAGATTAGTAAGTCCAAAATCTCCCAATACAAAGACAAAAACTAAAAGTCCGTCTCCCCACAATAATAAAAGTCCAATACGATAAAAATAAATCACTTGAGGTAAAGAAATGAAGAAGGAAAATTCCGAGCAAGGTCAGAGGGGTGTGGTGGTCACATACAGTACATAATATTAGCAGTGAGGTCCGCCGGTCATTCCTCCCCGAAACCAACTGACCGCAAGCAAGTCCAGTGAGACGGGAAGACCTGTAGGCGAGGAGTAGATGTGTGGTGGTAGGTGGTGGTGGGTGGTAGTGGTAGATGGTGGTGGTGGTGGTAGGTGGGTAGTGGTAGATGGTGGTGGTAGGTGGGTAGTGATAGATGGTGGTGGTAGGTGGGTAGTGGTAGATGGTGGTGGCGGTGGTAGGTGGGTAGTGATAGATGGTGGTGGTAGGTGGTAGTGGTAGATGGTAGGTGGGTAGGAGTAGATGGTGGTGGTAGGTGGTAATGGTAGATGGTGGTGGTAGGTGGGTAGTGGTAGATGGTGGTATTAGGTGGTGGTGGTATATGGTGGTGGTAGGTGGGTAGTGGTAGATGGTGGTAGGTGGGTAGTGGTAGATGGTGGTATTAGGTGGTGGTGGTAGATGGTGGTGGTAGGTGGGTAGTGGTAGATGGTGGTATTAGGTGGTGGTGGTATATGGTGGTGGTAGGTGGGTAGTGGTAGATGGTGGTATTAGGTGGTGGTATTAGGTGGTGGTATTAGATGGTGGTGGTAGGTGGTGGTGGTAGGTGATGGTGGTAGATGGTGGTGGTAGAAGAGGTGTGGTAAGTAGTAGTGGGTGGTAGAACTGCTAGTATGTGGGTGGTATATGATGGTGATATCTGGTGGTTGGCAGATGATAGTGGTAGTTGGTGGATATGTAGCTTGTGTGGTTGATGTGGTATATAGCAATCAGGTGGATAGTGTCATTGCTGGTGGTAGGAAGCGGGTAATAGTGGTAGTAGTGTTAGTGGTGGATGGACGTAAGTAAAGGGATGGTAGGGAATAGGTGATGTTGTTAGTAGTGATAATGGTGGTGGTATTGATGGAGGTAGTAGTGGTAGTAGTGGTTGGTGGTGGTTAGTAGTCAAATAATAGAACGTCATCATGTAATTTCCTATTGTCATGTCACTTAACACACACACACACACACACACACACACACACACACACATACACACACACACACACATGCACACATATCACCTTTGTCATGGTCAAGATTATTGTAGCGAGAGAGAGAGAGAGAGAGAGAGAGAGAGAGAGAGAGAGAGAGAGAGAGAGAGAGAGAGAGAGAGTGGTACTGAGTATTTTTCTGCCTGCTTGCATACATGTAATCAGACCTAATATGGTTGGATGAGTTGTGTTTTTTGGCATGTAAAGATGAGTTGGTCAGATTTCTGTGTATATGGTCTCCTGCTGGTTGTATTATAATTCTTCCTCTATAACGGCGCTATGTATGATGTACGTGTATGATTGTCTATAGGAGGTGGTGGAAGTGTAAGTGTGTTTTACTATGGGTGTGTATAAATTTGGTGTATAATTTTATGATTGACATAACACGGAGGCCTTTTATTTAGGGTGTGTGACAAGTATGTGTGTGTGTGTGTGTGTGTGTGTGTGTGTGTGTGTGTGTATGACCTGTTGTGGTTGTGTAAGGTGTCATGACCGACTTAATGTGGTGAATGACCCACTTTGGTTATATATCGTGCATGTGTGTGTGTGTGTGTGACCTGACCTTGACATATGACCTCTTCTTTGTGACTGAGTAGAATCAGAAAGTTAAGCTTGACAATACACACAAAAGACTAGTGAATCGGACCAGGTAATTAAAATGTTCTTACTTAACCTAAAATCTAGCTAAATGAGACCAAGGAAAAGTATTTATCAAAGAGATGAATAGAGAGTGATTATTCTAAAATTCCTTATAATTGTTTACTTAACATTGGCTCACTACGAGACTAAAAGAGTTTCCTACATTTACATATTATCTTTGTAGCTAATATATCTAAGGTGTTGAATGATAGTCTGCGTCTTGAGAAATTCTAAGATATATACAGTATATTTATCTCTCTTAGGAAACCTTCACATACACATACAGAGTCACCAACACCACCCAGGGCAATGAAGGAATTTCCGAAACACTCCACTGGTCATGCCTGTTACCTTTCCCGCCACGTTTTGGGTGTGGGTGGTGGGTGGCGGGTATATAAGTCGACTCGGAGAGGAGGGAGACGTCACTCCACGATCATGACTCCTAAGGTAAGGATGGTAAGAGGAAGGTGTTCACGCGCCCTCCATCACCCCACTCACGCTAGGCAGGTTCCGATACGGTGCTTTAACAACAACAAAAAAACAGTTATTATTCTTCGTCTGGTAACGGTGTCCTAACGGGAACGAATTATGCTTTTTTCATCATGGTTTATTATGTTCTGTGGCGGCGAAGGAAATGTTCAGTAATATTATTCTGCCAAGTTATTTCCTTGGGGTGCCTGGCATGGAGTACTTGTTGTCATTATGCATTGCTGACTGTCTGCAGGTGTTGGAAACTCATAGCTTTAGAGAAGACAACATAAATCAAACAATTATAACGGGATGACCCTCTCTTTATAACCTTTATTTATTGATTATCTTATCTCCTGCAGATACTTTTGCTGGTGGTGGCAGTAACTGTCGGGTCCGTCAAAGGCCGCCCCGAGATCCCAGCCCGCCCCGCCTCGCCCTACACACCCCCGGACCTCGGGTCGGACCCTAGCCACGTTCCAGGGTTCAATGCCCACACAGCTGCAGCCCTGACCACCCCAGACCACTTTGGCCCTTCAGGCAGTGGTCCTGACCCTACCTACAACGGCCCTGAGCACCCTGATCCTTCATATAGGAGCCCTGCCCCCCCAAATCTCAGTTACAGTAGTCCTGCCCCCCCAACCCCTAGATACAGCAGTCCTGCTCCCCCAGGTCCCAGTTACAGCAGTCCAGCAGCCTCAGCTCCCAGACAGAGATCTGGGGACCGTACCAGATCCAGGGCACCAGCCAGCCCCTCATACACAGAAAATACTCACGACTCCGCCCCCGTCCAGGTGAGAGGGTTATAGTTTATGTAATGATAAACTTTCTTGGGGGCACACCTTAGTGTTGTTTGAGGACACAGAACACGTTATTTAAAGGAGAACCATACTGGGATATAGGATTAGAAAACAAACATTCGGTAACCCTACACAGACACTTCTATTGAAAAAAAAATGTATTTGACTGCCTTTATAAAACACCGTAGACACATTACTCCAAAACGCACTTCTTGAGCAAGACACACAGCTTCGTCACTCCCTGTATTGTGTAAACATCCCTCTCAACCAACCACACTATTGGCTAACACTGAGGTAAGGAGGCTAATATGTTGCTACTTAACGTACTACTGGATACTCGTCAGGATATTGACAACACATGGACTAAACTTTTGGCTTAATTAGTTATTAATTATTGTTCGCTTGAAGACAGTAAAGGATTATACCAGGAGCAAGGCGCTCATTTTTCGGAACATTGAGTGGTTGTGAATGTCTTCTTGAATGGGTTCTCCACACACACACACACACACACACACGCACACACGCACACACACGCACGCACACACACGCACACACACACACACACACACACACACATTATCTCGTGGACTCAAACCCCTGATTGACACATTAAAACAAAAACTAATAACAAGTAATCAGGAAAGTTTCTCCAAAAGCAGTTCTATTAAACCTGTAAAGGATTTGGGTGAAAGGTATTTAACTTTACCGTAAATCTTCCCAAGTCTTTTAGTAATTTAGATCATTTTAATAATATGTTATAGGTTATTAAGTGATGCGAGTGTGTGATGGCGAGTGTGTAGAGTGAGTGTGTGGTGGTGAGTGTGTAGGGTGAGTGTGTAGGGTGAGTGTGTGGTGGTGAGTGTGTGGTTGTGAGTGTGTAGTGTGTAGAGTGAGTGTGTGGTGGTGAGTGTGTGGTTGTGAGTGTGTAGTGTGAGTGTGTGGTGGTGAGTGTGTGTCATGATGGTGTTATTACAGTAATTGTGACAACACTACCGTAGGTGGAGTCTTTCTTCCTCGCGTCTTGATGTACACACGAGAACACTTTCTGATCTGATGCACTGTGTACGTGTGCAATTCAGTTACGTGTTTTGAGTACACCTGTAAGTTCCTCCTCTCTTTCAGATATACAGTTTCTTTGTATAGCTGCATGTTCCCATTTTAAAGTGCAAGTGTTCAATCATGAGCACCTTCAGATCAGGTACACATTGGTGGAGTACAGATGTTTGTTGTATGTGTTCATAATACAGGCACTCGTTTGGGAAAAAATGGATCACCTGACGATTAGCCTTTCCAGCTTATTTTACCTGATGATTAAACACCCTAACGCTACCTGTGGGTTAGGTTTGGTAAATGTAGGTTAACATTAGTGTGTTGAAGGTGAAATGAGATGGGAGTTGCTAATCTTCAGGTATTTCGAAAAAATGAGATTTTTTTCGTTATCTATTAATTATTGGATAGGAATCAGAAACGTACAATTATAAACTACAGGCGTTTACGACATATATTTGAGTTACGTAATAAGTTCAGCTGCCAATTTTCAACGCAATGTACTAAAATGTTTCAACAAAATAAACTGTTTAAATGTGAGTCAAAACATAATATACTGTATATACATTATATCTATCCCAGTGACGAGAATAATCTGACAAGTGACTGTAAATAACCTCTTTACATACACACAAACACAGAAACTTAACACACTGATATGTTGAGCATTTTCCAGAGAAGAAAAACTAAGACTGTCTCCCCATACAGCGTCCCGCTCAATACAACTTCCAGTATGACGCCCAAGACGCTGAAACTGGCCAGAACTATGGCCACCAGGAGACCCGGGAAGGCTACAATACTCAGGGCTCTTACTACGTCCCCCTTCCCGACGGCCGTATCCAGAAGGTCACCTACTACGTTGACGGCGACTCAGGTTACATGGCCGAGGTGACCTACGAAGGTGAGGCCACCTATCCTGAGCCACAGCAGTATGGGCGAGAGTCTGAACCTGCTTACAATCCTGCACCAGCGGCCCCAAGACGCAGACCAGCTCCCAGGCAGGACTACAGATCCACGCCAGCTCCAAGTTACGAGCCTGCTCCAAGCCCAGCCTACGAACCTGCACAAACCCCAAGTTATGAGACAACCCCAAGACCAAACTACCAACCCACATCATATCGCAGACGCGGACCTACACCACCCAACAGCTATAGGGAGACCCCAGACTACGAGGCAGCCCCTAGCAACGAGCCAACGCCAACATATGAAGAAGTTCCTAGCCAAGAGTACGAGTCAGTACCCTCAACCGACTACCAGGTCGAACTCCCTTACGCATAAACCTTCAAACTAATGTAAATAATAAGTGATAACAACTGTGAATTTACTCTTGTATATAGATCTCTATTAAATATAAACGAGAAAATCTTTTTAGCGTTCATTGATTATACCTGTTGGGTAAAAGTGATCCAGTTTTTGTGTTGGGGAGTCATCTCATTGCCCTCGTTTTCTGACTGACTCACAGCCAGGTTTCCTTAGCGTTGATAGATCAGCGTGTGTTATTTCCCATCTAAGTTCTTTATTTTATAATTACCAACCTCCCGGTGGCCTAAGCAAAGTTACGACAAGCCTGAGATATTTTTGTCAGGTCTGAGATAGTTCATCCCTAGTGTAGCAGCTGTAGGTGGAGTCTTGAAGTTCTTACATGTCTTACATTTTCTATGATGGTGTTGTGATTGAGACGAGGGACTGATATGAATACAGATGCCATTTCTAATTCATTTCCTTAGATAGATAGATAGATAGAAAGATAATAAAATCGGCATACAAGATTATACTAAATCAGCATATATATAGACAATGTAGGCATATAGCTCAAGATGTACATAGATAATGAAGGTATACAGTTCAATATATACAACGCAGTATAAAAGCAGTGCGGGTATATAATGTAGTCCCCTTCACTAGTGCGTTTACAGGGGATCGTCATATAAACAGTTCACAAATCATTATCTTTGAGATATTTGTTTTACTATTGTTTTGGTTTGATTCCATAGTATGTTTACTATTGTAAGTTTCCCTCTGTCGAATGTAAACAAACACAGGACTGCCACACTGTACAAAACCTGATGAGCCGTTGTAAAAAAAATAGTGAACGGGACTGTACGTACAAAATATATCGTGCAGGTCTTTATATAGAAAAATGACCAATTCCTCTTGGTAAAAAATGGTTTGGAAATAGAGTAGTGGATGAATGGAACAAGTTAACAAACATCATCATTAACTCGAACACGCAGGATAGCTTCAAACATAGGTTGGATGGATATATAAGCAATTGGGGTTGGGTGTAAATGGGACTGCCCAGTACGGGCCAATAGGACCGCTGCAGTTTCCTCCGATCTTATATATATATATATATATATATATATATATATATATATATATATATATATATATATATATATATATATATATATATATATATATATATATATATATATATATATATATATATATATATATACATATACCATAGCATACAGCCTCGCAAGGACCAATAGGTCTGTATATAATGTGTGTGCACGCGCTAAAATGACCTAGTATATTTTACTAATGTCTCATTGTCCATGGGTTTTCTTACAGTTTGGCTGTGAGTTTTCTATTTTGTCTACCTGCCAGTTCAACAGGACTGCTAACCATCCTCCCAGCAACTCATATGCCATCCCAGACCCACAGCCTATATGTATAGTGCAAGACCGCAGTCCAATACATACAAGTCAGGCAGTCAAGCGTTGGTTTGAGGCGCACCCGCAGATTATTCTATTGGACTGGCCCCCTAAAGGAGCCGATTGTAATCCAATAGAAAATCTATGGGCACATATGGTTGTTGAATGGGATGTTGAGGAGAAAACGAGTGAGGCAGTGAGGAGACACGCACATAATGTGTGGGAGGGAATAAGGAGGAGGCCGAACATCTGCAGCAATCTGGTAGATTCCATGCCCACCAGATTGCATGAAGTTATAGCAGCAGAGGGAGGTTGGACACGGTATTAACCTGTGGTCAAGAATTAAATCTCCGCCCACGACGGTGCCTTGTAGGGGGTGGCGGGAGAGTTGGCTCTCTGGTGTAACCTCGTTGGGGCCAAATAGATTTCGTTTCCTCACTCTCGGGAATTTGTCCAGGTATTTTACTATGTGGTTTTACATCACTTCGCATAAATATGCTTAAAAAATCTATGCATTAATATGCATAACTCTTGGGAATCTGTCCAGACATTAAATTATGTTATATACTACAATAATCACATATATATGATTACAATGTTTATGCATAAAAAATGTGAAATTTTTTGGGGGGTTTCAATTAACCAATAGTCAAGCCTACAAAACAATCTTGATGCTCTAAGTGCATGTATGTGTTAAATAACGAGTAACTGATCCACATTATTTGGGGAAATAAAAAAAATGAAAAGAAAGCGCTTAGCCATATTGATATAATTACACGGAAGAAGGGAAATAAGGATGAACCATGGTTTTGATGGAAACAATGTGCTCTGGGACGATGCTCACAATGACGAATGGGAGAAACTTCTTTATGAAACATCTTCCCTACTAAGGGTGAAGCTTAATGTTACAGAACACACACACACACACGCACACACACACACACACACACACACACAGTGTAACTTTGTGTGACGCGTTGTCTGGCTTGGGGTGGCTTTGAGCCAGTGCCGGATTTAGACCTGTGGAGGCCCATGGGCAGCCTCTTTGTGGAGGCCCCATTCATTATAACTACCCAAGAGGGAGGGGTTGCGAGTGAAGCGAGCCTAAATATCTGAGAGTTCTAGGGGGCGCTGTAAGCCCCCCGGGAAAATTTTTAAATTTGAACACTTCTTTGGAGAATTTTGAAGCCATATGCAGTTATACTGAGGAAATTAGAACATTGAGCAATTTTTAATAAACTGTATATTTATTGATAGTGTACAAATTCCCAACACACACACACACACACAAAAGTGAGACATGACTGGAGACGTGATGGAATAGATAAACATGAATTTTAAAGAATGAAAATAAAAATAATCCAAATGAATAAACAAATAAATAAAATATTGTAATATGTGGAGGCCCCCAGATTGTGGAGGCCCCTGGGCAGCTGCCCACTTAGCCCACTCCTGAATCCGGCCCTGCTTTGAGCGAACCATACACTTGATATTACAATTTATGTATCCTTCCTGTCCATGATTTGCAACAATAACTGTAGAGTAAAAGTTACAATATTATACTAATAACACTGTCATGTATTGATACTATGACTAGTTACCAAGATACAGAGCACGATGAAAATAACATGATAATGATAGTGAAGCCTGGAAGGGTTCATATCATAATTTGTGTGTTCGTGAGTATGTTGCCCCGTGAGAGTTACCGTGGGCCTCCATGTGCCCAGGTGGGATGGTCAAAGTATTACACTATAAGTGTATCAAATGAGGAGTGACTGATCCACATGTAATTTAAGGTTTTTGAAATATGTAGTTAAATTAAACACGATTTTTCATATAGTTACGAGAATGATGGGAAATAAAAGATATAGATGGGGTGTGGTGGAATCATCGTGGTCTGGCCACAAGCGCTGTAAACGACATGTGGATTCACTGGGTGGTTTGGAAGTGTTTATTTCCATTCATACTTTCGTGAATACAACCTATGGTAATTTTTCTTCTTGTTCATATTGTTGCGAGTTGGGGATTTAGAATATAGTTAAAAGTCTACCCAGATCCCAACAGGCAACAACAACAAAAAACAAAGACAATCGGACTATAAAAGGGTAGACAAAGGATGCGAGTTTTTGTTGTGTATAATAAAGTACCATAAATTCCTGAACAAAATATTCAGCGTTCTATAATTTACCCTTAACCATACTTAACCTAAACATTAACAGTATATACATATTTATACAACATAAACAATTTTGAAGCAAGTGGACGTGGGGGAGGCAATATATGATTACAAATACTTAAGTGCGGAGCTGAGATGGCTGACGAGTAAGGCTGAGTATTGTAGAAGACGGTAGGTAGTCACTGTGCCGTAGGTTTCCAGGATAGGTGATCCTGTGGTCACTTCCCAGAATGAACTGAACTCTCCTCGAACTGGAGCTGACAAAGAAGACTTTGAGGAGGTGACGCAACAACCAGGATATGGAGAAGGGAAACCCGGGAGTGGTAACTAAGACGAGTCATACTCGTGTTTCGTCCCTAGATGGCGTTGCTCGTGGTGCTGGGTAGGTAGATCAAGACAATAGATGGCGTGGTTCGTAGTGCTGGGTGGAGGGGTTCGTAACACACCCCCCCTCCAAAGACCTCCGTAGCGCGGGCGCGAAGGAGGTGATCACCTGGTGCGTCTGGAGAGTAGCTGCTGCATTTCCACTGGAGCTCGGGATAAGGAGTCCGCAATCATGTTGTCTACCCCCTTTATGTGCCGGACTTGTAGATTATAGGGCTGGGTGAGGAGAGCCCAGTGGAGGATTCGCTGGTTGGAGGTCTTGTTGGTTTGGATGAACATGAGTGGGTTATGGTCGGTGAAGACTAGGGTTGTTTGTGGGCAAGACTGGAGGTAACATTCAAACTTCTTTATTGCCAACACCAGAGCCAGGGCCTCCTTCTTTATGGTCGAGTAGTTGGTCTGATGTTTTTTCAACTTGGCGGAGTAGTATGCCACAGGGTGAAGGACATCAGTGGTTGGGTCAGGTTGTAGGAACACAGCCCCCACTCCGACACGGCTAGCGTCGATTTGCAGATGGAAGGGCAAGGTGTAGTCAGGGGGGTGGACTACAGGCTTGGAGGCAAGGAAGGCTTTGAGGCGGTGGAAAGACTGGTCGCACCTCTGGTTCCAGATGTAAGGGACCGCAGAACTGGTAAGGTCTGTGAGGGACCCGGCCACGCTGGAGAAGTTACTGCAGAACCGACGGTAGTAGCCGCACATCCCCAGGAAGCGCCTGAGTTCCTTCCTCGTCCTTGGAGTGGGGAAGGACAAGATGGCTTTAACGTTTGCGTCCTTGGGTCTCACCATACCATGCCCAACGATATGTCCCAAGTAAGTCACTGAGGCCCGGCCAAAAGCAGATTTAGCCAGGTTTATGGTGAATCCAGTCTCTTGCAGTCGTGCGAACAGTATCTCCAAACGCACCAGATGTTCGTCCCAGCCGTCCGACACCACCACCAGGTCATCCAGGTAGGCGAACGTCCCACCTAGGTCCTGAATAAGGTAATTGATGGCCCTCTGGAACGTGGCCGGAGCATTAGAAAAGCCAAACGCCATAACCAAATATTGAAAAAGACCAAATGGAGTTATAAATGCTGAGATTATTATTGCCCTATCCGTGAGTCCCACTTGATAATATCCTTTCAGCATGTCCACGGTAGATTTA